TCCCCAAAAACGATAAAAAGACGGGCATTATCATCAATCAATAAAATCCCCACGGGCCAATCTTGAAGATTGGACTTTATGCCGCTGAGACTTAGCTTTTGTCAACAACTCAGAGGCGGAAGTGAGAGCTCCGCGCAACGCAAATGAAGTCCCGGCCGGAACACGGTGCGCTAACTAATAAAACATAAATTAACGAAGCTTCGAGGCAGGTAAATTTTCCTCGAGGAATTTTAGTAATCGAGGTACTCGAATCATTCGAGGAATCGTTTCAGCCCTAGCGTGTAATATAAAATCCTTCGAATTAGAGTATTACCTCCAGAAAGGAATGGTGCTTGAAAATGTTTCTCGTAAACTCTAGTGACTTAAAGAAGTCACTTCATTCTAAGAAAATATTAAATACTGTCTTATATTCTGCAGGGATGCGGTTGTTTAACCAACCAAACTATAAAAAGACTGAATGCAGATTCAGGCTTAAGATGGACATTCTGAACAATCAGAAGCTGTTTTTTTTCCCTCTCGATAATACAGTTGTTTCATTTATTCCTGTTACTTTGGCATGCAAAGCTTATAACTACGACTGTGTACTGGGCTACTGAATATGGGGGAAAAAAAGGAATACATTTCCACCAACAGACTCAGAACTTGTGGTATTGCTCTGGGAGATTTTATGGAGAATACAAGGAGATTTCTGAGCTTCAAAAATCTAAAATTTGCAAGAATGCAGAAGACCTTGAAGAGACATTTTTCTCCAAAGAAACCCCTTCAGACTGTTTGGGGGCATCTAGGAAAAGGCTTGTCTGGAGAATCAAAGGCGGAAGCTACCAGGAGTCCAGTGTAATGCCCGTCCTGAACATGTTCTAAGACAAATCTTGCCAAATATCCAGGAACAAATTAGTATAAAGCTTTTTTCAAACATGATGGAGCTGCACGCCACAAGGTAAGAGTGAAAATGAAGCGGTTCAGGTAATAAGAGACCAGTCAGGAAACTACTCAAAAAGCCAATAAATCAAACAGACCAGACAACCTCAAAGCACCGATCAAGTAAGAAGGGGCTATCAACACACAGTGTTTAGCCCTGAAGCTGGAACACCTTTATGACAGAGTAGAACGAGACAGGATTGATGAAGAAAAGAAGTCGCTGTTAATAAATAAAGTTTGCATAAACTTTACAGTATTCTCAACAAAAGGCATTAAAACCATGTAAACATCATCAAATAATCCAACATTGAAGCAGCAAACGTGCTTCACAAACAAAAATGAAGTGTTTATTTAATGGTTAAAATAACCAACTATGTTCGGCTAACAGGAATAATTTAGCAGTTTTATTCAACCCTGGTTAACTTGATCTCCAGTCGAAGAAACAAAAGTTTAAAGAAAAAAAAAAAACTATTCAATAATATCCGTTTGTTGGGTAAAGTGTGAAAATGATTGTTGAAATAAAAAAATAAATTAAAAAAAACACCTTCACACGTCCATTCAATTTAATGAAAATCCTACCAGAGGCAGTAAAATACTTTGAACAATGTTGTGATGGAAAACCTTCAGTGTTACCACCAACTTGAGCGCTGCTGCAGACCAGACATCCTCTCAGAGAGACAGCACTCCTTGAGCAGTGCAAACATTGTACAGTAACATTGGGCTTGAGAAACTGTCGTATCCACCAAATTTCCCAGATCGCGATCTTGTCCAGCATTTTTGGGATGTACTGGACAAAAAGCTTTGACTTACTTAATTCACAGTCTAAAGGATATGTTGCCAACATCTTTGTACAAGAAACCACAGCACAGGAGGCACAAACAATTCTGGGTCTACAGCTTATAACGTTATCCTTCTTCATCAGTATTAACTATTAATAATGTCACCTTCTGTAACAACGAAAACTATTTATTTGAAGCATTTTTGCACACGTTGATGATAAAAGGATTCTAAATGGGCTGATCTCAGCTAGTTTTGCATGCTCTCACCCTCGATATGACTTTCTTCCCACCATCCGGCTGTTCATCTCGCTTCCTTTTCTTTTTTATTCGATTCTGTTGCCTCTTCTGCTGCTCAGGTTGTCCTTCAGTTTTGTTGTCATCTTTCGTTTTGCCTTCTGTCCCCTGCCAGTAACGAACTGGACGCTGGTGGAAATGACCAAAGAGCGGCAGTTTAACAGCATTAACATACAACAACATACAGTTTAAAACATTCATTTCAACACTGAAACGGGGCCGGCAGGGTCTAATTTGCTGCTATTGTGGGGTTTCATTAAAAAAAAGGAAAAAAAAACCCCTCAAAGAATACAAATTAATTCATACCTTTTTCTTTTTTTCCACGTGTGAAACATTCACATCTGCCTCGCTGGGAGACGCCATGTTTGTTGTGTACGTTTTTGAAGTTCCTGTTGCGTCACTTCTGCTTCATCATTTCCGGATTTCTTGTTAATTATTTTTCTATTTCTTGATTTTTATTTATTTATTTTTTGGCACATTTTCGCAAATAATGTAATATTTCAGCGTGTAATATATAATCCTTCGAATTAGAAAAGCAGAATATTGTAAATAAATTACATTTATTTCTTTTTTTTTAACATTAGATCTTTGCCAAACTTACACCCTGCTTTACTTACACTCCACTATTCACAAATTAATGTTGCTTAGATTTCACATGATTGTCGTAATGTTTTTTTGTTTTTGTTGTAAACAACAAACTTTCTACATTGAAAAAATATTAATATTTTCAATGCAAAATATGTAAAATATTTAAAAGCAACATTAATATATTAATAGAATCTATTTCATTTTTAAATGATTCTGTCATGGGTTGTTTTGTTGAAGAAGGGCCAAAATACAAATAAGAGCTTGAAAGTAGTTTGGTGAATTGACAACTTTAATAATAAAAATAACAAAAATCAAAGGGAAGGCACAGAGACAACAGGAAATGAAAATAGCCAGGAAACAATGGGAAAACCAGTGAACATAAACACAGAAGAGACATGACATCCTGACATGGGAACAGGTGAGTGTAATCAGGGGAATGTTGAATAGCTGTGAGAGAGGACTGAGAGAAGGAAACTTAACACAGATAACACACAGGAAGGTTAACTAAACAAAATGCCTAATACCATGATAAGAGGATAAATAAAAAAATAAATACATAAATAACAGAACACATTAAATAATAAAGAAACTCAACACCTGGAATAAAGTATAGCTTACTAACATAAATAAACCCAGAAAGAATCAGAAAACAAAAAATTGTTCCAGTATTGATTTACACAAACCCCATTTCAGTTATGCTCAGTTTTGGTGAGAAAAAAAAAAAAAACAAACAAAAAAAACAAGTTTTTCATGCATTCTTCTAAATCTGAGCACATATTTATCTGTCATAAAGTTAAGACATTTTATTGATCAAATGTATTCTTTATTATGTCAGAAGACATGAAGCTTTGGAGTTTTAAAGGCTTTTTCAATTTATGAACTTCACTTGTAACTGAGAAAACATAAAGGTAAAAGTTCAAACATGTTGCAATGAGGAGCAGCTGGAAGTTGAAACCTATTCAGGAAGAGCGACTATGCTAACAGTGAAGAGTTATGTAATTTGAAAAGCAGAGCGCCGATCAGCTCTCCAGTACAAACAGGAAACTCCAGGAAGGAAAGGCAGACCAAGTCCAGTTGCAGCATGTCTCTCGATTTCAGCAAGGTATGTGATTTCTTGCTGGTTTTCTTAGTTTGTCCTTCTGCGACTTCCTCTTTTAACATTGCAATCTTATGGAGTTCAGCTCTTTTAAGCTCTTGTGAAGTGAAAAGATTGCTTATTTGAGGATGTTGCTTTAAATGAACACAGGACTGTGAGTGGATTTAATGATTTCAGCAAAGAGTTGAACTCCCACTCCATTCTTTTCTCAGTGCCTCTAGAGCTTTCACTAAACTATGTAGCCTCAGGCGTTCTCACTGAATACTACACAAAACATTTGATCCATTTGCTTCCTTGAAAGTTTTTTTTTTTTTTTTTTGTAAAATCTTGAGTTTCTTGGTCATAATGCAAATCTGATTCTTTCTCATCTTCAATCAATTAATCAAATTTTATTTGTATAGCACATTTCAGCAGCAAGGCATTTCAAAGTGCTTTACATAATTAAAATAAAAACAGCATGTGAGAAAGAGTTAAAAAAAAAACATCATTAAAACGCAAACAGTGAGAAAGAGAAATAAAAAGCTGTCTCTAGTCAAACGGCATTTGACAAGGACTTTAACCTCTCTTTAACTTTAATGGTTTGATGTCAGTTTTTACTTTCCTTTATCAAAGATGGATGTGTCTTCCCGGCCAAAGCTGTTTGATTTCCATGGAGTCGCAATGATTCCTATTTTCACAGCAAACTGGGAAAATGTCCAAAATTTTCAGGCCAGACCAGATGATATACTAATAGCAACATATCCAAAAGCAGGCAAGTCTACATAATCTTTACATGTGTTTTATCAATCACAGATTTCTGTGTGTGTGTGTGTGTGTGTGTAGGTGTGTAGGTGTGTGTGTGTGGGTCATTAATCATATCTGCCTCTCTTCGTCTCCTCAGGGACCACATGGGTCTCTCAAATCCTTGACTTGCTGTATTTTGGCAAGACGTCTCCGGAGCGTCTGACTTCACTCCCCATCTATGAGAGAGTGCCTTTTTTGGAGATGTCCATCCCAAACTTGTTGTCAGGTCAAAGAAAAGATGCATTCTTCACGTATAATAGCCTCACTTTAAACTTCCAACTGCACATCATAAAACATCGTAATCTGTAGGACTTGTGTTTGTTTGTCACTTCAGTTTGATGTTTTTAGAGTGTCTTGTTTTTTTGTTGCTCTTTTTGTTTTAGCTTAGTTGTGTTTCCTATTTAGTGATGCTTTTATGTATACCGATGTTTTGCTGCATTCATTAGTTGTTTCCCAGGTGTTTCTTTGCAATGTCTTCCTATTTTAGGTCATTGACCTCCGACCTCCCAGTAATATCCTCCCCATTATAAGTAGCCCTTCTGGTTTTGCCAGTATTGTCAGATCAATCTGGTATGCACTATGCTGTTTCAGTACAGATTTTATGCTTTTGCCCCCCTGATCAGATTACATTTTTATACATGGACTCCTCTTGTTATTGAGTAGGCTTTTGTATTTGTTTCACCCCCTTCTGTCAGTGATTTGGTACTACCTGACAGAAGGGTTTAAGCAGCCCACACTGAGAAATTAGTGCAAAAAGCAAAGCAGCAGAAGAAGACATCTTTATGCATTTTTTTGTTTGTATGCTTATACAGGAAAAGACCAGGCAGATAAGCTTCCTACCACCCCTCGACTCATCAAAACCCATTTTCCTGTTCAATTTGTACCAAAGTCATTCTGGGAGCAGAACTGCCGGGTAATGAGGCTTTACTGTTTGCATTTTCTTAACATGACCAGAACGAGTTGAAATACTGAACGGTGCTGATATTTATTTTCTCACAGCAATGGTACATTTTTTTTACAAACGTCTGTTTCTTTGGTAGATGATCTATGTAGCCCGCAATGCAAAAGACAACATGGTGTCTTATTACCACTTCGACTGCATGAACAATGTCCAACCTGCAGCTGGAGACTGGAACAGCTTTTTCCAGAGATTCATGGAGGGAGACAGTATGTATGAAATCATCGCCTTCTATGTGTTCATACTTTAATAACGTCCATATTGCAAGCCTTTCCATCCATGCATTCTATGTACCTGCAAAAGAGACACCAAACATTGTTAAAAATAAAATATCAATATCTTGGGTTGGTTGAAAAGGATGTAAACTGATGTAATTGGCATCCAGCATACAGGTGACTATTTCCTTTTAATTCTATAAATTGTTTCCACAAGTTTTGTCTGTATTTGGCTTATTTTTATTCAATAAATGAGAGTCATTTTTCTTACTTTAAGATGGTCTTATAAGTTTGTAAAGACTTTAATTTAAAGAAGGTGCATTTTCTTCTGGATGATATACACAATTCCTCCACAATAAGCCTGCCTTCTACTGTTAATCTACCATCCAGTGGTGTTTGGCTCCTGGTATGACCATGTGACCAACTGGTGGAAGAAGACACAAACCCATTCAAACATCCACTACATGTTCTACGAAGATATGATTGAGGTAATTTGTTTTAATCTTTCACAGATTTCTCCTTATTTTACACCTAAAAGGTGATGAAACATGGATGACTTCTGATCATGTTTGCAGGACACTGGACGGGAAATAGAGAAACTCTGCTCCTTTATCGGATTGACTCCCTCTGCTGAGGAGAAGGAAATGATCAGAACTGGAGTGCAGTTTGACAACATGAAAAAGAACAAGATGGCCAACTACTCCACACTGCCAGTCATGGATTTCAAGGTGTCTCCCTTCATGAGAAAAGGTTTGATGAATAAGTTCATGTTGTAAGAGATGTCACAATCAACTTCCAAACACCAGTGCAGTCAACTTATGCCTGTATTTCTGCAGGAAAAGTTGGTGACTGGAAGAATTACTTCACTGTGGCACAGAACGAAGAGTTTGATGCAGACTACAAGAGAAAGATGAAGGACCCTGCCCTGCATTTCCGCTGTGAACTCTGACAAAAATAGATGACAAACACAACTGCAATGAAAAAAAAAGAGATTTTTATTATCAAATAGGAATAGTAATGTAACCTTGAAATGTAAAGAAAAAATGAACATAAGCCTATTTTGTACTAATTTTAAACAATATAATTATTTTGTAATATTTAAATAACAACCATCAGATTTCATTTTTTAGATTTTAAAATGAATAAAAATATTGCATTTCCCAAAGAGATGATGGCTATATTTTTTTTCTATGTGATGTTAATATTTGTAATTCATTTCAAACAGATCTTATAACTATTACTGGGACTCTTATTGTCATGCTGTTCTGGAAATTATGTAAAATTTTGTAAATTTAAAATGTTAAAGCTATCATGTTTTTTTTTTAATATATGTATATATAGATTTGTGATGTTTGAAAGACAACAAAACAAATTCAGTTTTGGTAAAACAATAATCGGATGAAACAGTTCTGTATTTATTATAATCTAACAAAGTAGCTGTTTATTGAACTCATCAAAATCCCTAAAGAAAAACAACTTGTGCAAGATGAAGTTATCATGTTCAGTTACCCAAATTCAGTTGGGACCAATACGGACAAGAGTATGAATTTAATCCTCAATGGTCAGTTCTTTCTATGACATTACACTTTCCTGTACCCTAAGCTGACTACTGATCTGAGTCTTGGTATATGGTTGTGTGGGATCTGTGAGTGTAAATGGACGAACTTGGCTGCAGTGGGAAGTGCTGTGACTGTTTACTCAGTTCATTTACAAAGAGGAAACCCCCACACCCTCATGGACTGCTAAGTAAGGAAACTGATGATGAAAGGTTTAAATACCGCTACTTTTGGAGAAACACAAGAAGCTAGAGAGACCACA